ACATAACAGTTCATTATGTAAGGTCTTTATACACCACTGAAAACATAGTTATGGATCTTGTATTGCATTTCTGTCAATAGATCCTCAGAAATACTACACACTAAACCTTTCAAGAGTTAGGGTTAACATATTTGGATTTATTCACACACTATAATAACAGTGTTAATATTATTATGGTAATAGGCAGTATATTACCTTATTGGGAGAAAACTGGTTTCAGTAGATGTTGAGCACCCCCATATAGCCAAAACGGTACTGTATGATCCTCATTTCATATCGACTCTGCGAAGATTCAACTGATCTTGGGAGTTGAATCATACTCCTTTTATTGAATCATCAAATCTTCGACTATTTTGGGTCACCCCTAAACAGATGTACAACAAACCACGGTAAAGACGACAAAAGGGGCAATACAACAAACTTTCCATCTGTAGCAGAAGCACCTGATATACATTACATTGCCAAAGGTTTTGGGTTGCTTGCCTTCACATGCACATAAAGGTTAATGACATCCTATTCTTAATCTGTAGGGTTTAATATGGAGTTGGTCCACGCTTTCCAGCTATAACAGCTTCAACTCTTCTGGGAAGGCTGTCCCCAAGGTTTAGGAGTGTGTTCATGGGAATTTTTAACCATTCTTCTAAAAGCGCATTTGAGAGGTCAGACACAGATGTTTGACAAGAAGGCCTGGCTCACAGTCTCTGCTCTAATTCATCCCAAAGGTGTTATAGCAGGTTGAGGTCAGGACTCTGTGCAGGCCAGTCAAATTCTCCCCACCAAACTCGCTCATCCATGTCTTTATGGACCTTGCTTTGTGCACTGCTGCACAGTCATTTTTGAACAGGAAGGGACCATCCCCAAACTGTTTCCAACTTGGGAGCATGAAATTGCAAAATCTCTTGGGCTGCGGTGGAAAAGTCAAAAAAATCTTTCCTAACCATTTTGTGAAGGAGAATTCATAAGGACTTAGGAAAAGACGACCGCGGGGCTAAGAGAATTTGACTGCTCCTATCTAGGTGACGTAATTATGCAAATGCTGATGTTACTGATGTGACCTGAACCATCTGTTAATAACTCTAACAGATTGCAGCGCTGTCTACAGAAAGCCAACCTTGAAATGAGCAAAACCACTGTTTATTTATTGTAGGCAGATAACTACTACTAACCCCAGGCCCAAAACTCACTGTGTCTATGAACATAGCTGTAAATGTAAACTGGAAGAAACATTTCATTGGTTTTGCAAGACAATGTAGATGACAATGGAACTGGGTCAGCCATGTGCTTCCTTATCCTTAGCTGGCCTCTTCCATGCCCCCCAACACACACACACACACACACACACACACACACACACACACACACACACACACACAATAACCCTAACGCATGCTAACTGTCTTCTAGTTTACTGTTTGAATGTTTTTGACCTCGGTGCCCTCACAGTGTTGAGACAACTCAGCCGCTATTATTATCTCAGACACACACATACATACACATACATCACCGCACACACATGCGTATACTCCATTTCACATTCCACATTAGTGCTGTAATGTTGCCCTGTAACAAAGCCCCTCACCCATCAAAAGTACTTCAAAACAACTGATGAATGGTCACGCCACCAGGTTGCAGTCTCCATGGGTGGCCCTATCTGATCAACATGCTCCAACATGGGGCCCCCTCACCTCTCAAATCATAAAGTGGAAAATTTAATGGACACACCAGACTGTTCTGCCATGGCCTTCAATGCACTTCTGTGTAACGGTGCATTCTGTTTTTACCCATGTCCACATATGTCATTTTATTTCTCAATAAAGAAGAGAAACATCAGAACGTTTTAAAGCAAAGAAGCATATTGGTAGTAAATGTGCTCATTGAGATTGACCAAAAACTATCAATTGCCACTTCATTTTAGTTTAGTATTAGTCAATTATGTGACAAAAACATTGCAAAGAACAGAAAAAATTTGAATAGCTGTAATCAAGTTCTCTATTTTGCTTAACATTGGCGAGAGTTTCGTTTCGATAGACTGCAAGACAGATGCCGAGCTGGCCTTCTTTCTGTTGGTCTAGTAAGTAATAACTTACTAGCTGTTTGTTGCACTTTCTTGATGTTTGGCTGTTAGCAAAGTTGTTGACTTGCTTGTTTTTGATGAGTAAGACATGTTATGTAATCATAACAAATGCACATGTACAGCTGTCCTTGTTAACAGCAGTAGATTACAATCTGAAATGGTAGGGGCGCCAAAGAAGGGGGAGATAGGATAAAACTATTCATTCATCAACAAGCCAGTAAGTGGGAAATGATTTGTTTTATTCGACAGGGAGATGAGTCCATTCACCTCCTGTGCAAGTTGATCTCACTTTCTGTGAAGTCAGTTTTCTAAAAATCTATTTAAAAGTGATATGGACAGGTTTGAACAGTATAGATGTCCTTATTTCTAAAAAATCCCTATTGCTGCTGCTGCATTCAACTTTTCGTAACTCTAAAACAAAAAGAGAACATGCCCGGAGCTGCATGAAGTGTTGCATCATGTAGCAGGATAAGAGAGAGAACAGGCCACCTTGCCTTTCTGCAGACAAACTAGATTTAAAATATACCCATGTCCGCATGTGTGAAGTTATTTCTCAATCAAGAAGAGAAAGATCAGAATATTTTCAGCAATAATGAAAAAATTAACTACTGCGGAGCTTATCTCCCCTAATAATAAAACAAAGCAGTCTTCAGTCAATCAAAAGACGAAAACATTGCAGAGAACAGGAAAGCGTTGAATAGCTGTAATCAAGTTCTCTATTTTGCTCTTGTTAGTGGAGTCACTGTAGAACAAACACAATCAAATTGGTATTGAAACAAGGAAGTCAGGTGATCAGATCAGTGGCTGATGGCGTCCCAACATCCTTTCATAATCATCAGAAATAAATGGTGACTTGTTGATTGAGTTTCTTGTATTAAGAGTGCACTTGGATAAACAATGTGGAAGGTATTTGCTTATTTAAGCCTCATAGATATTTAATACACCAGAATATGATCCATGGATCTGGCTCCTTGTTATAATGAACTTCTGAATGTTTTTCTTTTCTCAATAATATAGTCTACCTGAATAAAATCTACTTTCTGATTAACCAGTAAATTTGAGTGGAAAGAGGTATTTCGTTTTACCATCTTTAAGAACTGCTTCACTCACTTCCACAACTTTGCATTGATTTCATTAGACACTGTTACTTGTGATTTGATGCAACGTGACTTGACTGTACTTGTGGCGTCAGGACTTGAGATCCACTCGATACTTTAGCTGTCATTTGCTTTGTTGTGACTTGACTGGATGTCATGACACAAAGTTGACTTGAGACATGAGCAAAAGTGGCCAGATCGCGCCTCTGGCTTTCAGCAATACATGCTTTTTTCAAAACAAGAAGAAAACTGCAAATGTAAATAAACAGCACACACAGTGTATACATGATCATATTCCATAGTCAGTTTAAGTTAATGTACAGTATGACCTTGAATGTGGTATAATATAGATTCTTGAGACTTGGCTTCAGTCTCTAACAATCTTAAGTACATGCTGCGCTCCCAGTCTTGGCGCCAATAAGCCCATGAGAGCAGGACACACTTAACCCTGCAAACCTCAACATCTCCCTAATCCATACAGCCTAGCTCAGCCTGAGATATGAGATATATTATTCCTTCTCGTGTGTGTGTGTGTGTGTGTGTGTGTGTGTGTGTGTGTGTGTGTGCGCCTGTTTAGTCACACAGAGAAGCTTGTGTGCTTGTGCATGTGTGTTGCGGCCACAGCTTTTTCTTTCATAGCAGGGCTTGGCTGCAGTCTTATGTTTCACTCTGCAGGGAGCACACACATAAACATACTTACACACATGCATGCACAAAATCTGCAAGCGCACACACACACATCCATCTTCATAGGCAAGTCAGTTATCCATTTCAGCTTCAACTTTGGCCCACATCTACTGGTATGTCTGTATTCATATATGTATGAATGCCAGAGAGGGAGAGAAGCGGGAGACCAAGGAAGAGAAAAACAGCCAGTTGGGGGGCCATTTGGATTTACATAGCATGCTATGCAGTGAGTTTATAGAGTTCACATGTGTGAACCCACTTTGCCTGCAGAAAGGCAAGGTGGCCAGATCTCTCTCTTGTCCTGCTGCATGATGCAACACTACATGCAGCTCCGGGCATGTTCTCTATTGAGTTGCAGAGTTACGAAAAGGTGAATGCAGCGGCAGTAATTGGGATTTTTTTTTTTTGAAATAAGGACATCTATGCTGTTGAAACCTGCCCATAGCACTTTAAAACAGATTCTTAGAAAACTGACTTCACAGAAAGTGAGATCAACTTGCACAGGAGGGTGTGAATGGACTCATATCCCTGTGTGGAATAAAACAGATCATTTCCCACTTGTTAGCTTGTTGATGATCCATAGTTTGATCCTTTCTCCCCCTTCTTTATTTTGATCTTTCTTCCATCCTTTACCCTCCTCTTCTGCAAGCTTCTATCTCAAAATGAATACATTTGAAACATGCATTGACAGATTTCTGTTTAACTACTTGTTCTCACTGAGCCAAATGTCTCTTGATACCATTTTTTACCCTGACTTCTTGCCTAAGTTGTACCTTGCCAATATTTGTGTTTAAATGGAATTGAGTGTTGGAGATATTGGAACAACATGACAAGACAGAGTTTCTAAATATTTTTGTTTGTGTTTGCACACACATGAAAGAAAAACCACAGTAAAATGCACATACAGTATCAATATGTATACCACTGCATTAAATTAACTGCATCACTGCCAGACTTTATATGTCTTGTTGTACACCTGCCAGAACTCCACTTGATTTAATTACTCAGAAGTAAACTGTACTTCAGTCTTGGTAGACAGGCTGATTTATGGTTCAACCACACACATACACATACATAGGCATAAGGTGCTGATGTAAATTAACTTTCGACGTTTCTCTGTCTTTCCCTATCACTTCTATCAGATGGGCCTTGGCTCAGAAAGCCAGCAGAGGAAAAGAAAGGCTCCAGCCCCTCCTCCCAATACCCCAGGGCCAGACGACATGTCAACCTCTGGCGCTCCCACCCCGGATAGCCACGCAACCGAAATACCTACCCCAGCCTTCCGCACCAAGGTGGCACAGTCAACCACTGCCTCTGCTTCCACTGTGGTAACTCACACAACTAAACCAGTCCCCTTGAAAACAGCAGTACAACCGCCATCTGTGTGCGCTGCCACAGCAACCTCCAGCTCCCCGACCCGAAGCAGCAGCACTGCCGACAGCCTCGCGGTCCAGGATTCCAGCTCTGAACTCAGCCACAGCCTCGATGACTCAGACGCTGACCTAGACCAAACTGATTCCCACTGCAGCAGCCTCACCAGCAGCACAGTGAGCGGGTCTGTGCGGGTCCAGCCCGCTACTAAAAGCTCCAGAATCAGGGTGAAAGAATCAGAAGATGCCAGCAGCATGCCTGCCAAATTAGATCAAGAGGCGACATCAGCTAGCAGCTCCAGGTCGGAGACTGAGTCGGCCCTAAACCTGAAACTGGATGAAGTTGAGAACAACAGACACAGCGCAATGGGTAAATATTTATAAAATGGCATGATAACAGACACTCAAAAAACAGCACCGGACACAGGTATTAGAAACCACAATCCACATTTGATTGTATCTTTAATACTCCTAATTTGATGCTTTCTGAAAACACACTATAATTATCAGGTGTTTTTTCTTTGATTGCGATGAGACAACCTATTTTATTCTAGTAATTGTCTAACATCTCTGTTGGCAGACTTCTTCTTTGCAACTTAAAGACAGATACACCAACACTGGTAGACTTTTAGATTCTTCAACAGGAAAAATGCCAAATGACAGTTAGGATATTTATATAGATAAAGCAGACACAGCACCTCAGGCCACGAACAAGCTCTACCTGTTCTATCTTAGTTTTAATTTCCTCCATCAGTTACTCTGTATAAACATAAATCAATTTTAACCAACTGGCATATCACATTTTCACACCACAGTACACAAAACATTTATATTCATCAAAGAAAATTAACTTGGCTTTTGATTGCTCAGCAGTGATGGCAAACACTCTCACTGTATGTTAAAGAAGTGAGTCAGTCTGAAGTTGCCTGCATAGGTTTTCTACATGTTAGAAAGTGATATCTGCCATGGAGAACTGAACTGTCACTTCTACAACTTCTGAAATATAAACTGCCGAGTGAGTGAGTGTGTGTGCACGTCATGGCTGAAATACAGGAACTAGCGGAGCTGGTATTCATCATAGCTCATGAGACAATACAGTCCTTGTCTCTCACCTGCACTTATCAATCCCTCGCATTCTTCTTATCTTTCTCTCTTTTTTTCTCTCTCTGTCTCTCTCTCTTTCTCTTTTGTTCATGCAGCCGCTCACACAAACCTTAAAAGCTGGCAGATGCAAAGGCAGACGGATCCATCATAGATTTAGGAACAGGATCTACTTGAACTTTAGCCGCCCTCGTATTGATCCTTTTATATAACCTAGATCTTGCTCTGTAGCAAATTGAGATTGCAGCAGAGGGCTGCCGTGTCTGATGGGCAGAGATGAGAGAGCTGTAGACCTCAGAAAAGGGATGACAAAGGTGAGGGTACTAGAATGGAGTTCAGAGAAAGGAGCATGGGAAGGTTTTGGCAGCGGGATGAGAGGGCAGCAAGGTAGAAACAAGGGGACTAGGGGGGATTTAAGGAAAGGAGAATGATGGACAGGCAGATGAATGGTTAGTGCATTAGTCACGATAGACCAGACAGCACCAGGTTCATTAATACATTTATAGACCTAGCTACTTCTGTATTTTCTCTACCCTGACAGTGCATCACCTTCTCTCTTCTCTTTTGCTTGACTCTCTCCCTATCTCCTTTTTCAACATCAACTTTTCATCAACAACATATTCTTCAGAGCAGCTTGACAACTGCACATTGTTATACGAACAGTACACATTTGGCAGTGAATGAATAGCTGGTATACACGTTAGGGCTAGACAAGTACACCCTGCATGTACAGTATAGGGTGGTGCCCTCATGCTTGTATAGGCAGAGACAGAAATGTACACAGCACAGGTTTCAGGTAGGCTTTCATTTTTATAGGTTTGATTTAGTCTTTCATCTATCTGGGTTTTATTTAACCTTATGTTTAAGCAAAATGGATGTGTAAGTCAAACGGTAAACTGTATGTCATTAGCTTTGAGAAAATCTAAATAAAGAGTGGTGGAGCTGTGAGAGACCAAACCATTAAAGTAAATGTTATACTAACTTTAGTATTTTTAAATTATTTTAAATCTTGGTTTTATACTTTTATACATTCAAAATGTCTTGTTTGTATGCTTGTGCAGGAATGGGTACGTTAGTGTGTGTGTTGTATGTTAGGCACGAGGGAATACACATTATCAATGTTATGTGCATACATATGTCAGTTTCAATTCAAAACTTCAGCTTGGTTGCCTCAGACATCAGGGCAGTGTGTGCCACTTATTTAGGTATTTCTTTATTAGAAACACACATCACCAATAATATGAGGGGGAAACTGAGATGAAGTTGAAGGATTAGCATCAGGGTAATTTGTAGACTTTTGTGGATAGGAAAACTGTTTTACCGTGTCTGTATGTGTGTTTGTGTATGTGCTCCAGAAGCTGTCATGGTTATGATGGTGTTGTTTATCATCTTGGTGCTGCATGCTGTTTCAGTTCCTTCCTATTGTCGACAACAGAGTAAACAGATATAGTACATCGACAGCACCTGCTGACTAAGACTCAGCACACTGATCCATCACTAGTCCAAGGACTAGGTGGCTATATTTCAAAAGAGCTGTTTTACAGTAATTGTGCTTTGGCTCTTAAAATCCAATATGTTATCCATATTGGCTTTGTCTTATGTGTCAGTCCACTCTTCTGTTAGCATCACCCATCTCCTTTGCTTATCAATATAATGCTTCTTTCTATCATGGATTGACATAATATGTAGCAATTCTGCCTCTAACTACAGTAGTTCATGAAAGCTTTTGCATTTGCTTTTTCCGAAAACCTAGACATCTAGTCTCAAAGCAGAAAACTGTACACCGCTGACGAAGCTGCAGTCTTAACTGCACTTTAACCGTCCATGCATTGTGTTTCAAATATCTACTGAAGTTAGCATGCTAACAAGTTAGCCCTGGCCCGTTCTTTCTCGTAATATGACTTTGTATCTCAAGAGCTGCTAGTTCGATAGTATAGCTCAGGCCTCCCCCTGGAGTTTTAGCTGGGAGATGTGTGCGAACGACAAATTTGTCACACAAGCTCTTTCAGCTTTTTAATCTAAAAATAATCTGACAAAAGGAAAAATATTCTTACACATATTTTTACTTTACCGAACTGCAAAATACAACCATACATCTTCTGAATTCAAGTTTCTCTCTTTCACCAAACTAGTGGCCTTGTTAACTCATCGTAAAACACACTTCATTCAAATTCATTCATTTTCAGTGAAAAAATATATTTTCATAAATTGTGCAGCTCTAGTTAGCAGCAGTTATGCCTTGATATGTGATATGCTGCCCCTATTTTTTTGGATTATAACTTTGACTTTGGAGAGTAGTCTCTATTCTTACACATTCCACTGTTAATAAGTATTTGTTAGTGGTTGAATACAAGTTAGAAGTTACAGAAATACTGAAAAACCTCAGTAGCAGAGTATGGAGCACTGAAAAATTATTCTCTCGACAAATCTTTACTTTTTATTTTTCTTCAGCTGAAACTGGAGCAGTGGTTAAAACGTACAACTGAATGTACTGTAAACACTAGAGTAGCTGACAGTGTTAACAGGTTATTTATCCTCTACACTATTTACTTCGGCACAAGGTTTAAAAAGGCTGGCGCTTGTGCAGAGTGTGAGTTTTTGTTGTTGGTGGTGAAACAGGTGGACATGGAATACTTGCCGTGTACAGAATAAAAGGTGTTCAAACCAAATAAACGTTGTATTTATTCCAAGTAACAAAGTACTTTAACACTGATAACCTCTATGGCTCAGCAGACAAAGGACAGAGTTCTGCCCACAGAAACCCAAACTTCATCACCAGAGATAAAGAAGCCACTGTTTGAATAACAAGCAGTCTCTAAGAGGTGTAGCACGAAAACACAGAAGCCGAGATGTTGGCAGAATAAATAAAAAACAAAGATCTTGACGATTACACTATGTTTTCTTTGCCACTTTCAGTTTCATATGAAGTTTGCATGGAAGATGTTTGTGTCACGTTCCCCACTTTTACAAACATGACCATCGGTGCCTGCCCTGCCTGCATGCTGTTTCTCCTATAGGAGCCAGTGATCGACCAGCGCCACCCAAACCTCGTCGTTCCCCGGCCCGGGAGCCACCACAGCTTGTCCTATCCCTTACCCCGTTCTCCCCTCCCCTTGAGCCCACAGAAAGCAACTCCCCACAGAGCCCCACGGAGGCGGAGGAAGCAGCTCCCCAGTGTAGGTTCCACATGGACTGCCTCTCCCTTTGCTTCACTCCTGGGCTTTCTTTTCTTTCCTAGATGCTGCTCTCCTGGTTTTCTAACTTAAATTTCATTCATCCCAAAAAGAGTATTTATTTTTGCAACCATCCTTTATTGCCGTGTGTGTGTGTGTGTGTGTGTGTGTGTGTGTGTGTGTCACTCTGTTCTCACGTGTTCTCCATCTTTCCATCAGCGATCTGAGCAGCTGAGTTGCTAAGTGATAGGGCCTACTGGGTCCATGTGAGGTCAAGTTGCTTCATATCTATAAATGTCAACCTGTAAGCCCGGGTATTTCTTCTGGATCCAAAAGGTCAGGGCTGGGGTTAACATCAATCAACTCGAGTGCCTTTTTTGTTGCATTTATACAGTACATTGGAGTATATTAGATGTATAATGGAAGACATCTTTGAGTGCTGTTGAACTCTCTGTGTGTTCTCTGCATGATAAGGCTTTATCATTTCACTGTTTGTTGTTCTCAATTTCTTTCTTATAGGTTTTTCTCCTGATGGTGTTTTGATAGTGATCCTTGCCAAGTGCAATGTTCATGATCTATCCATCTTAAAACTCATCTGTTCTTCTCTTTACTCCCGACCCCCTCACCCTACTTTGTAGTGTACTGCTGTGGGCCTGTGCGTCTGCACTCCAAACACTCCTGAAGTCCCTTGCTGGCTTGACCCTTCCTTCGTCCGACAATCCTTTTTCATCAGTTCCCTTTGCTTTTTCCTGGCCCTTCGTATTTCTGCTAGACCTCCTTCTGATGTACACCACACTCCTCTCATTATTTTAAGAAATGTTCTACTGTTTCTTCTGTATTTGTTGTCAAGGTCTCTTTGCTATCATAAAGTGAATCATCTCATTTCTGTTACTTGCTTTCATTTGGTGTCGCAATGCCTCACAGGAGCCACTTCACAGCAACCTAATTTCATCTGTTCTTGTGATGGTTTGGATTTGATTCTTATGAGGACAAAAAATGCTGCAAGTGAAAGCAAGTCTTGCTCTCCAGTTTTACTCTTAACCAATGCTAGATTTCTTTTCTTTTTTACATATGTATGTATATACTGTTGGTGGTTTTGCATTTCAACTTGATCTGCTGGTTGCCATTGATTATGCATGAGATCAGAGCTGAGTTAAAAGTGGACTCACAGAATGTGGTCAAGAGACTATACAATGATAGATGAGCTAAACCCTGGACGTATCAGTTACAGTGTGATTGATGAGTGACATGCTGAAATGAGGCTATGAGGCAAGGCCATGTGATATTTATCAACCAATACTTTGGTGATGCGATATCTGCAGATCAATAGTTGGACAGTGGATGTTTCTCTCTATGCCCGGTGTCGTGGCATGGCTTAGAAATCTGAGATCCGAATGCATGCTGCCTTTGGCAATATTATGGAAAGGTGATCTATCAGTGACATGTTGTTTTTTGGTAGTGGTGCCTCATGTATTTTTAAGACAAGTGTATGAAATAAATTACCTCTTCCCAAGGAGAGCTTATAACTTAGAAAAGAGAGTGACACTACACCCTAATTTGTTTTTAAAACTTTTTTTTATTATTCAGAAAGCTTATAGTTGCATGAATACTTCACAGCTTGTTCTTAAATGATAGGTGGGTATCCAAAATAACTCTTCTGTCCTGACATCCTGTGTGAAAAAGGGGTTTATTGTTTGGGGTCCAGAGCAAAATATATATATCCTTCCGATCTTTGGCTGCAAAACTGCGAGTAACCCAAATGTTCTGTTTGTGCAGTAACTATGTCAAGGGAATGGAGTCCTTGTTTTTATCAAATGACTTGTTCTGTACCATATGGATGCAGCTATTGTGGTGTCTCAAAATAATATTTCAGTGAAGTAGAATTTTATATTTTTCAGATGGATGATGGTTAGTCAATTTCTGGCTCTGATGACAGCAATGTACTTGGCAGATCTGATGAAAATTTCATTTTACAGTAATCCGATTTTATGTAAAACATTAATCATCCTCTGCAAGTTCTAAGCCATTGAGTTATGGTGCAAATCTTTTGGCTAGTTAGAGGATGTGTACTTGAGCCAGTAGAGTTGTGATAATGAACATGCAATTATCTGTAAAGGCAATCTGTGTTGTATTGAAAAACAGAACATATGTTTGAAAGACATTTTTCAATTAAACAGTTGAAGACTGGATCAAGATTCAAGGACGTTGGTTTGGGATTGTGCATGGATTGCCTTCGTTAGAGTTTGAAAAGTCACATTTTGCTTGGCTTTAATGAAGCATGTGCCTAAGGTCATATTGAGTCGGAGGTTTGAGAACTATGTGTGGATGTTTACTTGTGTATTTGTAATGCATGCACATATGTGTGCAAATGTGCATAAGACTATGTGTGTATACATGCGCTTGTCTGTGCACGTGTGTGTGTGTGTGTGCGTGTGCCCTGATTGTGGCTGTTGCTGGCATTACTAAGCTGTTGCTGGGAATGAGCTGGGAGGACAGCCCTGTGAGTCATCACCACATCTCCTGGAACTGACTGTTCTCTCCACACCATTAGGAAGAGGCCCAAAACTGACAGGCGTAGCGCGCGCGCACACACACACACACACACACACACACACACACACATACATATTGGAGGACAGGGCATGCCCAAATGCACTCACAGATACATGGTATTACAAACAAGGTCACTCACTGTTAAACTCATTTTGAAGAATCCCCAGTTGAGTTCCCAGTCATGTGTATGCTGGCTGGACTGCTGAAAAGCTAACAAATAGTACATTGATTTTTATTCTCTTGGCCTCGAGTTCAATAAGATCAGTGACAGACTAAATAAGTAAGTAAAACCCACAGGACTGACCAGTGCATGACTGTACTAAAAAGATGAGAGGGTATGAAGCAATACTATCTTTCACTGCAACCTAAAACAGTACCGTTACAATCTAATTAAAAGGGTTTGTCTACAGCAAGTCCACCCACACATCATTAAAGCTGTTTTATCAAGCCACAAGTGGTTGTGCTCCGGGCTTGTGTTTGTATATTTGGCTTGTGTTTTCTGTGTGTGTGTGTGTGGGGGGGGGGGGGGGGGTTAAAATGAATGTTGAAACTAACGTAAATACTTCCTCTTTTTTTCCCCCCCTCTTCTTCCATCTCTCACTCTGCATGCTCGCACTACATCCTATGGTTCTTTTCAGACAAACATTTGTTGTTTTTTTCCTCAGTGTTTTCCCAGGTATTAAATTAATTTATGGCTTGTGAAATTGAGAAAAATAAAGAAGGCCTAAAGGTTTTTTGAAGTGTATGCATGGCATGAGTAATGAACCTGAGGCCTTGATGATGTCTGAACCCAATACAAACCCATTCTCAGTCCTTTAGTTTCACAATATATAACCTTAGGTCATTGGACACCCTTTGATTTGGATGTTGAAGTTGCTAACAGTTATAACACCCTAAACTGATGCTAAGATTGTACTCTATCCTCTCCCAGCTTGGCTTCACTCCATGCGGTGCTCCACAGCCAGTGGCCAGAAACCAGAAACTGGAACACCCGAGGAGGAGACCATGTCCTTGGGCAGCAGCAGTGGTGGCAGCAGCCTGCCCGACCAGGGTTACGCCGCCTCTGAGGGTATGGCAGAGGGCGAGGACTCAGGCATGGTTAGCTCTCCATCGGACGCCCATCCCACATCCCCAGATGGGAGTTTGTCCCTAGATGGAATTAGAGGAGGCGGAGGAGAGAGACTGCTGCGACCAGTGCGGGACAATTCCAGTGACAGCGATGAGGGATGTGCTACCTGGGGATCAAGACACAGGTAGAGACAAAGTCATGGAAGTAGGGGGCGACAAGATTGAGGGAGGAAAGTAGAATGAAGTTGACAAGCATGTACTGTATATTTATATTTACCTAATTTGTGAATTTTGACAATTAGTGATATTGGATGATGAAAAGTTGAATTCAAGATGGCTTGGTACATTAAGACATCTGCACTGGCCAAAAGAGAATACGGTGACTCACAGCGTCTACTTTACTCATTAATCTATCTGGTCTTGTGCTTCCCAGTATTTATTTTTTGCCTACTCCTACCAATCTTCTACCTCAGGTCTTTTCCATCACCTTTTATTTTTACATCCATTCTAATAGACAGTGGTTTCCTGGCATGTAAGATAATGCATGTACCATTGACCTTGCTGTCAGCTGATAAGTAACACCTGCCTGAAAATTATTACTAAAATTTTTTGCATTTAGCAATCAAGTTTAGTTTTCCACCTGTGTTTCACCTGCAGTTTTAACGATCACTTTTTCAGCCAACTATAGAAGTCTTTTTAACTGTATAGAGACGGCAGTAATAACCAAGATCAGTTCCCATCATGTGTTATATGTGAGTTGTAGCCAAAGCTGGCACCTTCAACCTTTAGTGCTAGACTTTCATAGTTATGGTTCCAGGCCCTTATTCAAAGGCCTTTGTGGAAAATGAATGCTGCGCAGATCAATTTTCACCTTTTAAGTTGTTGTGGAATGTGTATGGTAATGTGCCCAGACCAGAGATCCTAGATCACTGCCCTTACTCAGTGAAACTGTATGAATCCAGGGCCTGGCCTGATGCTGCTGGCTCCTCAGTATTCCAGGAAAGCACTATAACCCTGTTTTCTCAGAATCGTTGAGGAAGAGAGGAACAGTCCAAGTCTCTTAGAAGACAAATTCTATTTGGTTTGGCCTTCTTGTTGCAATTTGTTATGGCTAATACGCCAGTAACTCATGAGAATGCTCTGTTGAACCCTTAAAGAAAGTGAAGAAAGTTTAAACTGTGGTAATAATATCTTTATTCTATGTGTTTCAAAGCCAAAAGGCTCCAATGAAAATAAAAGTGAACTTTGAACAAGCACAAAATATTTAAAACTAACACGTTTGTTTTCTTTCTTCTACTACTGAACTGCATTTAGCCTTTTGGTTTCCGTGGCAGATTAGTAATGGGAAGGGTGCTGGATCTAATAACATCAAATGTTTTGGGACTCTGTGTGTGTTTCTACGTGTCATTATGTGCAGATGTCTTTCTGACACATATTTTTATGTCCCTCCTCAGACATGATGACATCAACCCACAGGCAAAGTTAGGCAGGTTAAAAGGCTATGCAGATGACCCGGAGCTCACAGCTCAGCTCCATCAGACGTTGGCAGATTTTGAAGCAAACCTTGAAGGTGAGGGGACAGGCCACAATCCACATGTCATCTTAAACTGGATTTATATCTTTTCATTGAGGCGTCCTGGCAGTCCAGGCGTACATGCCTCCAACATCGGAAATTATATCTGATGTAGTTAATTAAAGGATTAAAATGTCTTGATCATAATACCACTGCAACACTACCCTGTGTACTGAATGTTTCACATTACTCCATATTGACCACAAATGACTGTTCCAAACTCTTTTTGATAAGTAATTACCATGGTCATATTCTTAAATATCTAAATGTGCACTACGTACAGAAAGATTAAGATATTAACCCCTTGATCTGTTCCCCTTTTCCAGACCACATAGATATGGTCTCAGCAAAGGAGACTCCCTATACCATGTCCACAGACAGTAACGAGGTGCCGGTGTCTGTAGTAGACATGGATGTGCCAGTCACAGCCATAGATGAAGTACTGGAGGACTATGAACGTAACATTGTAGAAAAAGAGGCAAAGTCACTAACCAGGACTGAGTCCACTGGCAGCAAAGGTATGAAGAAGAATATGCTTACGTCCAGTAGATCATACAGATGCTGCTTTAGTGCATTTGATATTTTGTGCTTTCAGAGTCCATTTATTCAGGCTCAATGTTATTTATACAATACAGTTAATAAACGTATGTATTTTATTTATGTTATAAATGGATTTCTTTTTATCCCATCTTGTCAAAGGTCCTGTCTTTTGTCACCAGTCCAATGTGGAGCCACAGAACAAAAACAACAATGCTTGTACAGCAGCTGAAAGTAAGAAAAAGAGCAGTGCAAATAATAAGCAGCCCTCTCAACCTGAGCAGCATCTGGAGAAAAGGTCTATCGGTGATAAAAAGACAGAAAAAATACTAGAGACAAAGATTAAAGAAATAAGTATCACTGATACCAACAGTGCGAAAGAGGATACACAAAGAACACCAGCAGTGAAACCTTACAGTGACATGCAGAAACACAGAAAGAGCACTGACATCAAACCTGATCATGTGAAAAGTAACGCTCAATCTTTTCAAGAGAAGAAACCTGTTCTTCCATCAACCAGTCATAGATCAGTATCTACAGAAGGAGATGAAGAGATGCACAGTGTTTACCAAAATAGTTCCAGCTCGAAGACTTCACAAGGTAAAATCACTCGCAATGTCACATCACGCTTCGGAATGAAAACTTTCACCGTGGTCCCTCCCAAACCCGCCATCATGCATGCTGCTACGGGAGAGCCAACTTCCAAAACTGTTGGTGCCATTAAGATTGACGATCAAGGAAATATGGTAAAAGTGGGGATGTCCCGGAACAAAGCTGATAGTTCATCAGAGTCAGGAATTAATTATAGCGAGGGGACTCCTCTTCTTGGAAAAGCCAAAGCTTTTTGGAGCTCAAATGAAAGACAAGAAAGTGCTGTGCCCCACGGCAAAGATCTCATTGATAAGGCAAGCACAGATGCCCTGAAAAGTACTACCACTGCAGTCGCAGAAACTACATTGAAGGCCAGTAATACTGAGGACCTGAAAATGAAGCAAACTTCACTTAATAAACCTGCAGAGAGATCCCTGCCTGAAAAGATGCTTAAAGAAAAAGCTAAAGAACTAGTAAAAGATATCAAAGTTGCAAAAGAGGAGCTGGTAGAGGTAGAGAGCAAGATTTCAGTGTCCCACAATGTTAAGGAGCCAAGTAATAAACCTACCCTTCCCCCTCCTATCCTGCCAGACTTGAAGAGAGACCTGTCCTTCCTCAAAACATCCAGGCGAACCTCAAGCCAATACGTGGCTTCTGCCATCACTAAATACACCCCAAAGACCTCAGCTAAGACCAGCTCCATCCCTAACGTTCCTGACTCTGCTTCGTTAAAAGCCATCGGTTTCCAAAGATCAGGTCGGTCCATACAAGTGAATCCACACCAATCTTCCCAGTCATCTTTTTCAGATAATAAGGAGAATGAATCTAGTTCTAAATCCAACCTTCCTGGTCCTAAGAGGTCGATGAGCTACCCAGAGTATGTGTCAGATAGCCCGAGAGATTATGTAGAAGTGAGACCGGACAGAGGAGGATTTAGAAGTTGTGTTGGATCCACCAATGGAAGCTCTAATATGCTGGAAACAGAAACAGCCAAGAATAAGCACATGCACTCTAGTGGCCCCACCCAAATAAATATGACCGCCAATCATGACGGAGATAATATTAAACATATTCGGCCTAGAAGCCCCAGCCCTGTACAAAGCCATCCTCTACACTCATCTGCCAAACCAACCACAGCTCCCAAGACTGTATCTCAAGGTCAGACAAGTGTGAGTAAAACTTGTATTAACTATTTCTTGTAATGGGTCTCTTGAAAAAGAAATGCTGTAAATTACAATGTAGTGTACAATGTAATGTACTCCACATCTTGTCTTCAGAACACGAGAGACATGATGAAGGCTGCCACCCATCTAACACCTGATGCAAAACCACAACCTTCTATCACAGTGTCAGACAGTGGTGTGGCCCCTGGGCCTCCATCAGTGACACTGTTTGGGCCAGTTAAAAAGTTCAGACCAGTGATCTGTAAATCTGTTGACAAAGAGACGTCTCTACACAGTAGCCTGATGGAGGCAATCCAGACAGGCGGAGGCAGGGACGGGCTCAGGAAGGTGAGATGAAGATACAGTTGATGGATGGATGAGACGGAGATAGTGATCATAATGTCTCTATGCTAATGCATTCACCACCACCACCAGCAGAAATATAGTATATTCTCAATTTAACATTTTCAGCTGTGTGTAAGTGATGGTGTTGGCTGGAAGATAAGAATGGGGTTTGATTTTCCTCTTTTTACTTCACAACTAGATAACCACTACTGGTCCCAGCAGCATGAAGAAAGCATCTTATGTTGAGGAGGAGAATGAGAGGTCTGCTCTTCTGGCTGCCATTAGAGCTCAGAGCAACTCCGGAAGGCTGAGGACGGTAACTACTCTCTTATAGCTGGTGCACACTAGAGGGTTCTCAAAGCTTTGCCCATTTTAAAAACATGGGATACCACAGACATGATGACAGATGCAACTGATTTTTAATAGAACACACACCTGATGATTCTGTCAAGACGCAGGACCACACACTTGGCGTATATACTAAACGATTTCAGAGCGAGCTCTCACAGAAACTCACGCAATCAAACGTGACTTGGACATAAGCAAACATAGAGGCAGACTGTCTTCGTCGATTAATAGCCCTTGTGTGTGCTATGCACAGAAAAAAAAGGAGAACAAATCTGTGGATGAACTTGTGGCTGAGAAGAGGGAATCAGCATGGTTTATACATTTTACAGAGCAAATACACAACTCGTCAGTGACTCTTCCCTGTCACCTCGCTCTCATTGTCTGTTTCTGATTGGAGGCTCCACGATTTCAAGTTGTAATCAGGTGACCTTAAGATTATGTCTGTAAACCTCTCACACTACTGGATCATTTGGGTCGATAATGTTCCAACCCTCCCTGGATTGGGAACACCCCTGCGATTGTCAGGAGGAGCGGATCGGATCCCAAATCTGCCATATTATCCTCTATTGTGCAGCCAGCATTAGCTATTTATGCAATATCACTCCATGTCTGTCAATACCAAGGGGGTGGTGGGGAGATGAAACCTAGCCCTGAAAGTCACAGTATGATTGTTTGTTTTAACAATGAGTATACCATCCACTTTCACCCTCCTTGAACTCCTTCACTGTATCTACATTTATCCTCACATAACAATAATTCAATACTTTTTACACATAACACAATAATCTTCTTTTTAGCCGAGCTAGCTACTTTTGTACAGAAATTCAAGGTCCCAAGAAGATGAATCCTAATCCATTTGTTCATTTGTTGATCCTTGGACTTTTCCTCAAGTGCCATAATTGACAATGGTTGACATTTTTGGTTACATAAGAAATGTACTCATGTACCAACTACTGGATGGATTGCCACATGAAATTTGGTTCAGATATTAAAAGTCCCTTGAAGATGAATCCTACTGACTTTTCCTCTAGTACCACCATCAGGTCAAAATAATTGTTCTCCCCAAGACTTTGATTTGACCTAATACTTAGAAAATAGACATTCCTATTAGCCTCAGTTGTACTTGTTAATTAGCATGCTAACTAAGATGGTGAACATAAACTAACTAAACATCAGCATTAGCATTGTTTTGCTGACTGAAGTACACTGCTCAAAAAAATAAAGGGCACACTAAAATAACACAATGTAACTCCAAGTCAATCACACTCCTCTGAAATCAAACTGTCCACTTAGGAAGCAACACTGATTGACAATCAATGTCACATGCTGTTGTGCAGATGGAATAGACAACAGGTGGAAATTATAGGCAATTAGCAAGACACCCCCAATAAAGGAGTGGTTCTGCAGGTGGTGACCACAGACCACTTCTCAGTTCCTATGCTTCCTGGCTGATGTTTTGGTCACTTTTGAATGCTGGCGGTGCTTTCACTCTAGTGGTAGCATGAGACGGAGTCTACAACCACACAAGTGGCTCAGGTAGTGCAGCTCATCCAGGATGGCACATCAATGCGAGCTGTGGCAAGAAGGTTTGCTGTGTCTGTCAGCGTAGTGTCCAGAGCATGGAGTACATGGCCAGTACATCAGGAGACGTGGAGGAGTCAGTAGGAGGGCAACAACCCAGCAGCAGGACTACCTCCGCCTTTGTGCAAGGAGGAGCAGGAGGAGCACTGCCAGAGCCCTGCAAAATGACCTCGAGCAGGCCACAAATGTGCATGTGTCTGCTCAAACTCCATGAGGGTGGTATGAGGGCCCAACGTCCACAGGTGGGGGTTATGCTTACAGCCCAACACCGTGCAGGACGTTTGGCATTTGCCAGAGAACACCAAGATTGGCAAATTCGCCACTGGCGCCCTGTGCTCTTCACAGATGAAAGCAGGTTCTCTCTGAGCACATGTGACAGACGGGACAGAGTCTGGAGACGCCGTGGAGAACGTTCTGCTGCCTGCAACATCCTCCAGCATGACCAGTTTGGCGGTGGGTCAGTAATGGTGTGGGGTGGCATTTCTTTGGGGGGCCGCACAGCCCTCCATGTGCTCGCCAGAAGTAGCCTGACTGCCATTAGGTACCGAGATGAGATCCTCAGACCCCCTTGTCAGACCATATGCTGGTGCGGATGGCCCTGGGTTCCTCCTAATGCAACACAATGCTAGACCTCATGTGGCTGGAGTGTGTCAGCAGTTCCTGCAAGAGGAAGACATTGATGCTATGGACTGGCCCACCCGTTCCCCAGACCTGAATCCAATTGAGCACATCTGGGACATCATGTCTCGCTCCATCCACCCACGCCACGTTGCACCACAGACTGTCCAGGAGTTGGCGGATGCTTTAGTCCAGGTCTGGGAGGAGATCCCTCAGAAGACCATCCGCCACCTCATCAGGAGCATGCCCAGGCATTGTAGGGAGGTCACACAGGCACTTGGAGGCCACAAACACTACTGAGCCTTAATTTGACTTGTTTTAAGGACATTACATCAAAGTTGGATCGGCCTGTAGTGGTTTTCCACTTTGATTTTGAGTGTGACTCCAAATGCAGACCTCCATGGGTTGATAAATTTGATTTCCATTGATATTTTTTGTGTGATTTTGTTGTCAGCACATTCAACTATGTAAAGAAAGGAGTATTTAATGAGATTATTTAATTCATTCAGATCTAGGATGTGTTATTTTAGTGTTCCCTTTATTTTTTTGAGCAGTGTATTTAGTACAGCTTCAGCTATTCTTAGTCATGCACTTGCATGCACAATATTATTATTATTGCAGTTAGAAAATAATAAGTCTGTTTAATTGGAAATGTGAATCCTAAACTCTTTGTCTGTGTTGTTAGCTAGTTAGCAGCTCTCAGAACTATGCATGAACTAAATTACGCAAGCATGGGTGTCTATTTCCAATCCTCTGTGTGTACTGCAACTGTGGTTTGCTGTCATGTAAGGACCCATGTGGAATGAAAGGGGCAGAAAACGTGCTTCTGCAGCTGAAACATCTGCGGTTCTATTCTGAAGGTTTCTTACCAGAACGGGAATCTCTGGAATGCTGCATGACTAAATGAGATTCAAAAACATAGTGGATCTCAAACAAAAAAAGTGGATAAATAAATAAAAGTGAATAACTATTGAGTTACAAAATAAAATAAGATAAAATCATATAATTGTGAAATAAATTTCTGCTAAAGGCAGAAAGATTATAACAGAAAATAATTTGTTTAGAGTAAAGAGTATCTCTGTAGTATCTCTGTGTGTGTGTGTGTGTTAAAAGTTGATGTTAGATGCACTTGAGTGTTAGGCTGTGAGTGTAATGCACATATGTGAGAGCAGCTGGCCTATCTTTGTGTATAGAGTTATCTTTGTGTATAGAGTTACCATTGTCTCACTCTTTTGTGTCCTACAGACCAAATCTGAGGCTGCTGATGAGCTTGAGAAGTTCAGGAAGGCGGCTTCTGAGGAGGAGAGAAGTGCAGGCCCTCCCTCCTCACCCTCTCCCCGCTCTTTGAGTTGCACCCCTATCTTTACCCCACCACCACCGCCACCAGCACCTATGATTGTACCTCCACCTACTCCTCCTGTCTTGCCCCAGGGCAAGTCTAACACTGTGGCACATCCAAGTGCTAAAGCTGCCATGAACCCTGCCTTGGCCCGGGAGGCTATGCTGGAGGCCATTCGCTCTGGATCTGCTGCTGAGAGGCTAAAAAAGGTACAAATGCATAGAAAAATACAGCATCTATTTACACTGTAGAGTAAAAGTGGTTGGAGAACTCTTGAGACGTTTTATCTACTCTGCATTAGTACCACTAGATTTTCAAATGTACATTTGCTTTAGCAAGAAAGCCAGAAACAGAAAAACGTTTGACCAGTGTCCTCTTTCGTCTCACATCTTTGGTCTGGTTTCTCGCGTCTTGCCTCGCTGGAACACATCTTTTGTAGAACAAAGCTCTCCTGGGGTGCAGCAGCCGGGAAACTGGAAATGAATTGCATATTATATTCACTTATTCACAGAATCATCTGACAGCCTTACTGTTCTGCTGTGTGAATATTTTCAAGAAGATAAAGTTCAATTTCAGGTCAGCAGCTGTGTAAAGTTAGAGCTTCCAGAAACGTTTAATTTTCGCGCCATTTAAACCAGACAAAAACAACAGCAAAGAATGAATAGTTTCAGGAGGAGGAAAGTATGGAAAATAATCAGCTCACTTAAAATTAACTAAATAAAATCTTTTCAGTTTAGGCATTTAATAAAAAGCCATAGAAGCTGATCTTTCCAGCACACCATGAACACTCACAGTCCTGTCATTACCAAAGTGAAGATTTACAAACATGACATGTTGTGTCTCTTTTAACTAGGTCACTGTGCCCACAAAGACAGTCCAAGTGAATGGCAGGCTGGGAACAATCCACAACACCTCCCCCAGCAATAAGATGGGAAGCTCACATCACCGCAACAAGGAATAATTTATCTTTTTTTGTTGTTGTTGCCATTGTGCTTTCACAACAGACATTTGGAAAACTGTATTTAGTCACATTTTGAGGGAATGTTATTTGAAAGTTTTGCCTAACTTATACGTGACGCAAATTACGAAGAATGAAATAAGAATAAAGAATGGTTTCTACATGCTATCTAGATTACATTATTCACCTTGATAGGGTGTCACAGCTCGGACTTCCAGTCTGGGACCTTATGCTTAAACTAATGCACTAATGCTTAAAGAATTGCGTATTAAAGGGAATCACTGAAACATTTCAAGGGGGAATGTTGCTCTCGTAGTAGCCAAACACCAGTAACATCTGACTGATAAAGGTGTCAGAAGTGAAAGGTTTGCTGTTAATTCAACTCATAATATCAAATCTCCCAGCTGGCTTCTTCTAACAATACTTGCTGGAAAAAATGTCCATCTTTATAACATATCACTGTTCCTAAACATATCTTGCCATCTGTACTTGAATTCAGTAGTTTTAACTGGAACATTGTACAAAATGTGTGCCAATGAAAGCAAATGTAAATGGTTTATGCTACTTTCAGATCTTTTTTTGTGTTGTTGTTCTTGTTCCTATCCCTTTTTACCACAGTTAAGTTATGGTTGCCTTATACTGTTGCTCAGTCAGTATTTATGTATATGATGTTTGATGTAAAAAGTCTATGTGGGGTGCATTAAGTTGGATCTGATGATGTTTCCACATTTGGACTAATTAATATTTGTTTAAAATTATAACTGAGAACTTAAGTACACTTATGAAAACAATGGACAGATCCATTGACATTGTTTGATTTTTTGTGTCTATTATTTTATCCAGATCTGGTCCATAATGCCAACTTTTGCAATTCTTGGCCCTGAGGAGGAGTAAGATGGTGGAGACTAGTGCCTGTTAGCTCAGTGTGCTCCTGTTTTAGTTGACCTTCATTTGTGCTGCTGTTTAAAACCTAAAGACATTGTCACACATGGTCAATGTCCTGCACTGGACACTTGTAGTGCCTTTGATGTTGGATATATTATAGAAATTAAGATGAACCTTTCCTTTCCTTGACATTTCAACATTTTTGAAGCAATGTTATTGAAGTATATAAATGGTGGATGTCACCATGAGCAAAGAGATTATTTTATTAATCAGCAAGTCACTCCCAGTATGAAGTATGTAATACAAATCACCAACTGTAGGAAAGCGGTAGTTTATGTTAAGGCCACTGATAACCATGTGGAGTAATTATGGTTGATAGAGTGGAGCAATGCCATTAGATGGCATAGTTATGGATAAAGTAGGATGTCAATGCTGAATCATATTTAGAATGAAAACTCTAGCGCATCCATATTTGGGTGTAAATGCTTGCTGCTGTGGGTTGTGAGATAAATCTGAGTAAAGGGAGTTGAATTTCTAGTTTTAGATTTATTTTAATTTATGCTCAGTTTCAACACTAAAAAATATTTGAAAATGTTTAATCCTGAGAGTTAAAACTGTTTGGTTCTTTTTATTTTCTCTAACTAGAAGGGATTGTTTCATTTCTGCTAGATGGTTTCATCTTCTCACAATATCCTGCAGCACATTGTAGTGTTGTATAAGATCATCAGCTTGAAAGATTTGATTTATATCTTTGATTGAGAGCTATTTCACTGATAGTGTGAAATTTCTATAAGCTTTTGCTATTAAGTTTTAAGTGCACATTGTTTTTTGAGAAGGTTACTTTTGTCAAATTTTTGATTCAATAAATCATTTTGTAATCAAGTGAAAACTGACTTGCCGCTGACGTCCCTGTATTTTAGTCATATTTAATAAGATTTTGCATTTTCCCCTCTGAAGTAGCAGTTAGATTCAGCAGATGGTATTATGAACCTTGCTCTGGAAACCATCGTTCTGATGTGCCTGTGCCATTCCCAGCACTGGTTGCCTGTAGACTGTGGTCATCCTGCTGTCCTCATGAAATATATTGTAGCCTCTCTCTCTCTTTGCCACACCACAGATGAGCTACTATTCCAGGCAGCAACTCATGGCCCTGACTCATCCCTATGTGGTCGCACGCAATGACTCTCACAGAACTTGAACCTAACCTGCATTTCTGATTCCTGAAACACTAGTCATTGTGTCCCTCTACCTTTCCCAAGAAGCAACTGAATGATGCAAACATCCACATTAGTTGCAAAATCACATGGAAATACTGTGTGTGGAGACACACATTGGTAAAGAAATCTCAGTATAGTCATTAGTCTGTTAGTCAAGTTGATTAAACTCACTTTTGAATGATCTCACATGTGCGAGGTCTTATAGCAAGTAAAGTGACTGGTTCTCTACAAATAAATATTTTCATTTCAGTACAAAGGCTTGTTTTTAGGGATTTTACAGGCCGGTTGCAGGGCGATGTAAGTCAGTTCTAACAGTGGAATAAGTCAGAGAGCATAAGGGAGATCTTGGCTGTGTTGGCCAGTGAGAGCGGTAAATTCCTGCAGAGGACCACAGGCTCTTTTGTGGGTCAAAATTCATGCTCACTCTACAGCCATTCAAATCTGCCTTACAAATCTCTGAAGGGTGTGTATGGGTGGTTGTGAGCGATATTTTTGTGCGAGTATGTACGTGTGTTGTGCCTGAGCTTGTGCCTTTGTTACTGCTCCAAACCATTTTAACCATACGGACAACATAAACAACCTCTCAATCAAGTTTTTTTTCCAGAAGATCACACCACAAAATACAGAAATAATTGAATTTAGGTTTGGTTAGCTTTGGTGACACCTTTACAAAACTTAATGGTAAAGATTATTTGTTGCCATAACAGGTTCACATGTTGCAGATATGTTACATGCCACCACGCCAGTCATGTTGACTGATCAGATACTTTGTATATGTTGTTGTTTAGATAAGGGTGTGAAGAGGAATAGCTCAGTAGTTTAACTTCATTCGAAGAGCAATAAATAATGAAAAAAAAAGTGTTGAATTCCCTCTGTGGCAGCTGTTACTAAAAGCTGTGAAAGCCATTCACCAACTGCCTTGCCTTACACAGCTTTGTTAGTCTTGACTGGCCAACTTATGAGTGATGGACACAGTGACACTGACTATCAGCAGGGGATTTTATTGACTTTGTTTTCTGATGTTGGATAGTCTACTATGTATCTGATCAATCAATTTGAACAAAAGGCCTATGTGATGCTGAATGTCTGATGAGGTGAACATGAATGTGTGCTTAGTTTACGTCTCAGTGCCAGTCTCACAGGAAGAATGCTTTGTTGCACGGTGGTACCCCTGAATATGAGTGACAACATGATGCGTGTTTGTATGTAAGTATGTGTGTGATGCAACAGCTGCACAATGTCTGCTGTTTGAATGTGTGTTTACATCATTGAGGGAACACAGTGGGAGACCTGATCCAGACACACACACACACACACACAGAGTTCAGGACTGATGACCTTTTGCTCTTCACACTCCCACGGTGTGTTCCCATCACTTATCGAAGTCTGAAATATGACAGGCAATATGAAAAATGAACTTATCCCTGGTGTCATTTTAGCCTGAGGCAGAGCTTTATCTGACAGTGCTGTGGGGTTCAATTCAAGCCAGTGTCTTCGGTGCATGTCACTCCTCCTAAATGTTTTATTAATCTCTATATGTTTTCAACTAATTACCAGTCTAAATAGCAATAACACATGAGCTGATGTGCACCTGTTGATGTTGCTCTCAGATTTATAAACATCAGAAGGTCTTATGCAATACGTTTACAAGGCCCAGAGGGATAAAAACAACAATGCCAGGAAGGTAACTCTGGTGCAGTGAGATTTGACCCCCTAGTTGTGCAATATACCTCGTATCCATTGGTGTTTTTATTTAAAGTGCAGCGTTGTCCTTAACCTTTGTTTACCATTTTAGTCCTGAAAAGTATTTTTGGGTGCATAAACATATACATACATGAATATTTGCCGCTTGCTACAGCCAGTTCACACGTAACGTACTTTACCTTGTTTATGAAAAACATTTACTGTACAAGCATCATTCTAACAGTATCACATATGTCTTTTAACTTGTCATGTTAGCCTTTGTAAGCTTTTTACCGTGGAACCTAGTTTTGATACACTGTTTACAATGTACAGAAAGACACATTTATTGTCCAAAAGTTGAATTTGAAGTATCCAGTAAAGCTCAGTAAAGGTGTGATTCAGCTTTACTCACATGGCTCTCATTAAACAACACTGTGTATGTGGATCTACGGTGAACACTTTTGTTTGAAGGGACAAGACGCATTATATTTCCCATCTTAACTTTCATTTGCCACTGACGTTCTGTCGCAAGCAAGAACCTCCTAATGCTGGTGTAACTTAAACTATAAATTCAATATAGTTAAGGTTAAATCTGCATAAAATATACAACTTTAAAAAGGTCATCCTGGACAGACAAAAGTCTTTGCATTAATATACAAAGGGTTTGGCTATTTACTTTTATGCCACAGGCTACTTAAAACTGCACAGTTTAGGAAGTGAAATGAAGCAATTTAAATGTAAGTGGTTTGAATGAAATGTGAGCTGATAAAGATATCTTAAGCACTATTTAAAGGTTGGTCGTCACCTACTGTTCTTAAAGAGAAGGATGAATAACAGGGAAATTAATATTATGTGTGTCGCCAAATTTATAAATCTGATTATTTCATATATGATTGATTGTGGGTGGCAGGACTTTAAAGTGTGTTTTTCATACAGATGCGGTGACAAAAGGCTCATGTCCTACGTGTGTTTTCTAACAGCAGGCACACACAACTCAAAATGTCACTGAGACAGCTCTTCAAAAATAAAAAATGGAAGGAAAAAAGCGGAATCCTCCGAACACGCCCTTATTCCCATAAGACGTGAACGCCGCATTAATCACCCCTCACTTGTGGGCGTGGTCTCACCTAAAGGGGAGGGGCTGTTTGCGTGCGTGTGTTTGTGTACGTGCATGTGTGTATGTGTCCTACCCGGCCGCATGAGATGAGCTGCCTGCAGTCTTTACGGCCGCTGTTTTCGCCTGCTGTTCCTCCTCTTCTTCTTGCCTCGGTCTATCTGTCCGGTCCGGGAAATGTTGACCACCGTGGCCTGATCCAGCGCTGCCGAGTGCCCCTTAATCTCCAGACCACCCCTCACCGTGTTTGTCTCTGAGGGTCGTAGCCCGCCTCCACTGATCTGGCTGTGTAAGGTGAGTGCACGTTATCTTTTGGGGGTGTTTTTAAAAAAAGTCCACAGACAGTGGACGGTCAGCGCTTGTAATAAAACTTTAATGTGCTGTTGTAATGACACGCACTGTTTCGCGGCTCTGAACACATGTGCGTACTGCGCGTAACCGCCTAGCGGGACCTGGTTCCATGCCTTCCTCTTTGACAACATAGCGACCAGAGTCATTGAACTTTGAAAACGTGTTTATTCATCGGATCGGACTGTTGCATGTAACTATAATGACTTAACTGTATTCATAGGAGTGGAAAGCTTCCGCCGAAGACTGTTTCGGGGTTAGGACGCGTGCCGACAAGCTGCTCTCGTGCACTTTCCTGCACCTTCCCCAACATTTACTGTGATTCGACTCTATCTTGGGAAACCGTATTTTCATCCCAAGAGCCTGCCTTGTTTACAATTGCGTAACAGCACTCTACAGTGGCCAGTAGCCTACTTTTTGTCCAGTAGGACTCCAGCTCTGCGCGTTGCACCCTCCCAAACTCAATACTGTGAGAGTTTCGCCTCTCCTTATCGCCTTATCCTTTTGGCAGCATTTGCTTTGGGGGTGGGGTGGGGTGGGTAGGGGGAGAATGAGGCGTTTCCCCCTGGGATACTCCTGTAATGCTACTGCAGTGGTTCCCAAAGTGAGCCCCTGGGACCTGCCAAGGGGTCCTTGGTTGGCTTCCAGCCGGTCCACAGCAAGGTGAGGAATTGAGTTGAATCCTTTATGGAGCCACCACAGCTTTAAGCTTTAAACACTGTAAGAGTAAAAAGTTATAATTAATGAGCTGACTGTAAAAAGTGTCATCAGTGCACTACTTAAGCAGGTATGGACACCCAGAGATGTTAGTCAGTATGTTTGATGTGGGCTGCTTGACGTAAAAATGTGTAGGTATAGTCCGCTCATTCATTTTCAAGCCTTTACTAAATCCAGCATTTCCCAAACACTATAAATGCATTCTGTAACTGATGCACAACTCTTATTCTTACTCTCTATTGTGTACTCTAATCAGTATTGTTTAATTGTGACATTTGTTTTAAAATGTACAAATCTAGCCAATAATACAATATTTTGCCTACTTTGAGAAACTGTGCTTAATGGTTGCAACGCTAAATAAAAGGGTAAATGGGCGAGAGAGCTTTATTGTTATCTAATCTAACTTTATGTGTAAGCGTCTTGACAGAGCAACTCCTCATAGTCTAATCTGCCCTGTCATGTGGGCACTCTCCCAAATCAATTCCTTTATTGGCTGCATGCAGTCTCTGCAGAAAGTTGCATAACCACCCAAATTTATGATTCTGGGAACTATCGATGTTGGCCGTGTGTGTTTGGAATGCAGGGCTCTCTGGGAATGTGGAGTTAGACTGGAAGGAGGTAAGTAGAGGCTGATGCACGTGGACTTCGATGGTGATGCATCCCAAATCTGATTTATCAGTGCACTTTTTACAAGGGGAAACTTGAGATAAAATCCTGAGCCAACACTTTCTTCAAAAATATAGGATACACCTATATTTGGGTTTGTCAGCTACATAGACAGAGCTATTGATCTTCCATTTGCATAGGTAGGACCTCGGGACCTTCAGGGAATAGTGGATAAAACCAAGCTGTGAGCGTGTCTTGATATTGTGTCTGGTGGTTTTGAGCATAATTAAGATCGTAGACACTATATTTAGTGTTTACTATATGATATTCCATTGAACTTGGCAACCTACACTGGAGCACTTAAATACTGCACACATGCATTGTCCTCTGCATGCTAACCTCGAAAGTGTGGTTGCATATGAAGTAGCTGATCACGTGGCTCCTGCTAAAACTATAGTTGTGTCTTTTCAAGCATGTGATTTTTTTGACACTCTCCCATTTATAACCAAAGAGGATTTCTCTCCTTCTTGCCCCTGCACATTATTTCCTGCTTTCTTTCATTTAATTGTGTTATGGTCACATCTCTGTGCACATGGCAACCGCTCTGGCTGCGGTTTCTTTCACCCCCTCAGCACCCGTCCTGCTATTTCATGTCCATGCTCAGTAAGCACAGGCATGACGGGGCATGAACTCAAGACTACAGGCTGCCAAAAGGCTGCTGACTGCACATATTGCACATAATTATACGCGCAATAAGCTATACTTGACTCGCTCTAGGATACAGACGTGTGTTTTGTCGTTTGAGAAGCTGTTAAGAATCTAAAATGCATTTGGTTCTGCTGCTCATACTGCGTTGGTTTACGAAATGCTTTATGCTTGGCAGTGATAACCCAGAGATTTCTTGCATAAGCAAAACTTGTGCCTCATTTGAAACTTTAGCACTTTTCTTATTGTACAAGTGCACACATGGTTGGATACCCCCCATGTCTTTGCTTGTATGCATATAGTTTCCGCTGCCATCCAAGCGGGAAAGTGACAGAGATATCCTATTAGCTGGTATTGGTGGTATAAGAGCTTTTGGTCGTGCTCTAGGCAGCATTCCATTGGGTCTTGCGTCAGCCAGCAGTCATTCAGCACTGGTTAGTCTAGGCTTATACACTGTTAATACCCCCTTCCTGATGTCATGACACCATTAACCCAAGCCTGCTGGCGGACAAGAGCATAGTTCATGTCGGTCGACTGACTCTGCCTGGATCTAAAAGCAGAGCGACTTCACCCTCTGTACCAAAATACTCAGCTGGGCTGTCAGTTGTCAAAAAGTAATCCAGTGATGTTAGGGACTGCTATATATATATATATATATATATATATATATATATATATAGCAAATATAATACTTTTGGCTAAAGGTTGCATTTGCCCTCGGTTGCATAATCAGGCAACATTTCTAAGTACTTCTCTCTTCTGTTAAATGTTCTACATTGGATTCAATTACATACTTGACCTTAAAGCGTGCCACAATCCTTTGGGTTTGTTTAAGAATAAATGTGACCACTTATTGTTGACATTACGGCCCAATTAATGCTTTATGTACTTGGTATCTCAACTCTGACTGCTGAGTAATCATGTTCTGTTTTGTAAGAAGAAATTTCTAAGAATCTAAATACCTGCCAGAGGAAAAACTCTGTGGTATTATTCTTCCCACTCCTCCTCCATACGGTAAATTTGGACCTGTACAAACCCGATTCTCACCGCTTTCCGCTTGTGACCTAAGGTGATGCAATGCTTGCTTGTCTAACCACCAGTGTGTACAGTGGATTGGGTTTCTCACTGTCTGGTGTTGGTCCAAATGTGGCTGAAACCCAAGTCTGCATGAGAGGCAAGAATGTTGCCTTTATTCTGTAGGTAACTGAACACCTGAGGGACGAAATACTCGGGTGCATACAGGTTATGTGGTTTGAAATGCACAAAATTATCTGTCTAACACATACATATACCATTTTCCTCAGGTTCTCTTGCGTTTATCTGTCTGTGTCTGTCGTCTCTCAGTTTATCTTTTTGGGCATCTGTGTACCCCATTGTCTGCCCCCCCCTGAACTGTCTCTTAGCCTCTCTCTCTGCCAGTTTCACTGTCTTTATCTCTGGCTGTCTGCGGCCGTTGATCTGTCTCTCTCTGGATCTAGAATCTGCAACGCAAAACTAAAACAAGACACGGTGAGTTGGCTTTGATAGGTGTACTTCACGGTTTAAAAACAAAAAGGAAAAACTTCCCAGTGCAAAAAGTCAGAACAATACAGGCATTTTTTTGTTCTTGAATTATAGAACTGTCCTAAACCTCATTCTGATCTCTCACACTGTTAATATAACAGTTTTGGCCATGTGTACATGTATTTTGTTGTACATAATTAAAATTCTCTGCCCTCTGGTTTTCTAGTTTTATACCCAGACTTATTAATGATCTGGGCTTAGACTGTTGTACTTTGGTACATAGGAATAGGACTTACCTTGGGTCCTATTTAATATGTTTTTTTTTCAGACAGCCAAATTTGTTAGCATTCCTGAGAGTAAATCAAATAAATCCTGTTTCCCTTTCCCCTTAAGTGGTCATGTAGAACTCCAGCTCTTTTCTGATACAATTTTAAATTTTTTTATTTACACAGTCAGTATTATTGTTTTTTGTCATGGATGACAATGATGTCATGCCCCTTGCACAGGCCAGCTTTATGTTCCTGACTAAAATTAGATATAATATGACAATTATGTATATTTTACAGCATCAGTCAGTTAAGTAAGTTATGTGCTACCAATCAGGTATAGCAAAGATGTCATGAAATGTTGAATCCATCTAATGTAGCCCTCTGGTGCCACCATTATAGCCAACTTGTGCACAAGCACAATTGCTCCCAAGCCCCGTCCATTCATCTATGCCATTGCATAAGACCAGTTCTCCCAAGCAGCCCAATGAAATCCTCATCCAATTAGGGCCTGTCCACATTTCCAAAAGGCCTTTCTCTCATAGACTGGTGCTATTCAGCCTCCCCGGGCATGACATCAGGCCCTCTCTTATAGCCCAACTTTACGCTGCTGCTCTCAAATAATAAAAGCTGCCAATTAATGACTAATCAACATGTGCAACAAGCACATCCAGTGAGGAGTGACTACCATCTAATCTGCTGATTAAAACAGAAGACAGAGATGCTCTGTTCAACTCTCTCTCCTCGTCTTTGTGTGTTGCATTGCTGCAGAAACAACAGCCAGCTAACACACACATTACTGCACTCTATACTCTGACCTCATTTGAGAAGCTTGAAAGTTGATCATTGGAATTATTTGCAATTTTCATTTTAAAGGTACTTGGAATACCAAAAGGTTTGATCAGCAGTCAATTAGTAGTTGGCTAGTGTAATACCATTCACTGCCTACAGAAAATAAGACTATTTTCAAAGTATTTTGTGACAAGCTTTTTCTGTCCAGTTTGTCTTTGGAGTTTTCATGTTAAAGTTCAAGATGATGTGTCAGTTGGTATAAAGGTATATAAAAAACACACATTTTAAGGGTTGCCTACGGAGCTAAAGACTGGGGGGAATCTCCAGCCAGCAGCAACACAATACACTAGAGCAGGC